TTCTCTTTCGTCATCTTCTTCTTCCTCGTCATCATCGTATCTTCCTTTCGATTTATCCACTTCTGACCCGAACGTGAAATCCTTAAATATCTAATTTGATGCTAATTACAACTTGCACTTGCACCTCGCGAGAGACCGCTAAGCGTGTTTGCGTATGGTGAGAAGATTTAATAGTGTGCTCGAAACGTGATAAATGATGGAAACGTGTCATCGATAATCAATCAGAATCATCAAGATTGACTCTTTGAACTTGAAGGTGTGTTTGTATTTTCAAAGCATTTCGATTTTTGGCATATTGAAATCTTATAGATCTTCAATATTTACTTATATGTTTGGCTAAATTGAGTTTTGCGATTAAAAAATTTGAAATCTTGTAATAAAATGCATCAAATAAATTTCGTTACGTGTATGAATTTCATTTTAGAAAATTACAAAGTAGATTGCTTACAAACCTTTGAAGAAAGCTTACAGTTTATATATCGATTGTTAAGTTGGAAATTGAGATTGAAGAGTTTCTTATGTATGTTGATATATATTGTTATGTATCTTTTTTCACATAGTTGAAAGAAAAGAAAGCTTTAAATTCATCTCATGATATAAAAATAATGGAAGAAAAATAAATAACATTTTTATTAAAAATGTTATATTGGTAAACATTTCAACAACAAAAACGCACTATGGAGTTTTTATTTTTGTATTCAGTAAGCAAAAATTAATTAAGATTAAAATCTATCTTATTGGGTTATAAAAATTTCTTTATTTATTGACTAATAAAAATAAAGAATAATAAAAATAAAGAATTGTTTCACGTGCTTCAATATATTAAGGCAAAAATTTGGATATATTATATATGAAATGTGTAAAATTACTTCGTAAAAGATTTAATTTGATCATCATGCTTCATTAAAAATCAAAGCATATGTCTCGTGTTATATTGTGTACTAATTGGAACACAAACTTACCTTTTTTTTTTTGTCACAATCTATACTTCGGAGAAGGGACATCAAATTAAAGAAGAGAACAAGTTGCGTTTGAGTCAAGACGTACGTAACCATTTATTATACGATAATAGTTGCACTCGAATGTAGCACATTAATTTGTCTATAGACTTGGAAATAATTGCTTCGCTCTTTAACATGTACGCTTAATGATCGCTATTCTACACATATCTAATGTGCGACCTATCAATTTTCCCTGCCGAGCATTACGTGACGGGATACGTCGTGACAGATGCCCGTAAAGTGTTTGGACTTACTTTATTTCAAAAGATGAAATAAAAAAAATAAATATAGCACAGTTTATAAATACATAGGAGAAGTACATAGGATGTGATGTGTTTTCTTCCGTTATTAATTTTTACAAAAGTACGTGAATACTATTAACCCTTTGTGGACTCACGATTTAAGATCACACACTGAAAAAAAGATTGGTTATAACAATTTAGATAGTAAAATATGGCATAGCATTTTTATATGGCTGCAGCAACCAGTTTTTGACAGATTGTAACAGCAAATTTTTAGTTGTGTTAGCCTATTAAAATCATATACTGACATTGCGGATAGGCTAACAAAACTAAAAATTTGCTGTTACAACCAAAAACTGGTTGCTGCAGCCATATAAAAATACTATGCCATATTTTACTATCTAAATTGTTGCAGCAACCAATCTTTTCTTTCACTTGAATACATTTCTTCCGATAATGAAATACGCAGAGTTTGAAATATTGTGAAATTAACTATTGACGACTTTTTCTTGCTACAGTTGTATGTTGACATTGATTAACTTTATTCACTCTTTTTTTCAATCATCGATAAACGTTTCTTTAATTTCTGCCTATATTTTTAATATTTAATTTTAAACTATATTTGAAGAGCTAAATAACATTAAGATTTTACGAAAATTTGGAGTGTATTATATTGCACTTATTAGGCAAATTACTAATTTGATTTTTATGAACCTTGATTAAGCCTTTAATTTGATGATGTTTTATTTGAATTTGAGGTCAAAAACAAAAAAAAGATCAAACTGTGAATTCAATGGCAGACAAAAATGAAGACAATCTGATTAAAATTCAATTTTAGACAATTTTTAATTGCGAAGTAATATTAAGTTTTTAATTTTACTTCATTTTTCACCCATTAATATTATGTAAACAATAGTATTAATTTTCAAACTGATTCTGGTTATGAATTCTGTGACAATAGATACTTTTTTTTCGTTAGAAGTTATTAGAATTTATTCCTCCAAAATTCAACATTTCCAAACTCGGTGATATCAAAAATTCCCTTTCTCAATAATCTGATTATTCTTTTGAAATTTTATAATTCTAAGAATCAAATATAGCAACCTTGAAAACCCATAAAAAATAAGATTTTTATTAAACAACTCTCATCCTTAGAGGATTAAATTTCCTATTAAATTAATGTTTAGATATTAGCCATTTAAATTGCTAGGTGCACTAATACACTTCAAATTTTCGTAAAATCTTAATGTTATTTAGCTCTTCACAATTAAAAATACAGTTTAAAATTAAAGATTAAAAATATAGGCAGGAATTAAAGAAACGTTTATCGATGATTGAAAAGCGAGTGAACAATGTTAATCAATATACAAAAAAATGTCGCAAGAAAAAATCGTCAATAGTTAATTTGAATAATTTTACAATATTTCAAACTCTGCGTATTTCATTATCGGAAGAAGTGTATTCAAGTGAAAAAAAATATTAAACGAGTAGATTCCTACGATGCGCTTTACATGCCTGAAAAGTTCATCAAGGTTTCGTAAATCTTTCGCGACAATCTAATCTTCATTACGCAATCGTACGTGGGCGAGATTGCGTTATTTGCGTCAAACTTGCGTCAAAACACGTGTGTATGTGTGTGCCTCGTACTGCTCGAATTCAAAGATGACGATTTGAAAGGGAAACGTGAATGCAAGAACGCATAATGTGAAAGGCTTGATCAAGGCGAAATCTCTCATCCTCCGAATGACACGCGATAATCCGGACCGCGGTTTGCAAAAATATATTATGTCCTTTGAATTCCAGCAGCTTGTTAAAAAATCTTTTTCTTAGCTAAGTTTTTTGGCACGAGCAGAGGAACGCCGTTTTTCCTTTTTTTTTTTTTTTTTTTTAAGAAAAACTTTCATACGTTTACGCCGCTAATATAAAATTCATAGACGCTCGCCTAAATTTTTATCGAGCTTCGTATAATTTTGTTTATGAGATTCAATCTTGTCTTGCAACTTCTAATATCTTTTAACAACTATATAAATTCGCAAACTTATCTTCTTCGTTACTGGATATTTAAAATTACAAAAAATTATTGCGTATTAGCAATCATTGTAAATTATCATCGTCTGATTATAAGTTCAATTAATAGATACATAATCTAAATAATTAACTTTGGCCAATTGAACAGTGCGAAGCTGATAAAAGATAGTCGCGCGCCAAGTCTCGTATAAAATCAATGACAGGATAAATGAAATAATTTTCCTACATGATTGCACATGTAATGTACGTGTTCATCCGCATGGGCGAGCTTATATTTAATTTAGCAGCCCTTGTGACATCGTACAGGATGTTCTAAACAGTTGCATACACAGTTTTAACTAAAAATGATATTGACATATTTCATAAAATACACAATTTAGATAAAGCCTAAAAAATTCATTCGAAATTCCCTCGAAACTTATGGAAGTTTTCAAATATCATTCAGAAACATTGACAAATCGTTTAGACATATTCAAATATAACTAACTTAGAAATGTTAATATAACATTAAAATTTTTTAAATTGGTATTTTTTTTAGATGTTTTCACATCTTTATTATTTCAAAATTTATGTTTGTATACCTAAATTTTCAAAATGTTTTAGGAATGCTTACCAGATATTACATCTAAAAACATATATTGATATGATTCGTAAAAATTGCTTGATAAAAATGAGAGAAACAGGATGAAATAAGCCAATATTTATATTAGTTTAAAGAGAAGATTGGTTGTCTTCAATTCTTTCTCTCTCTCTCTCTCTCTCTCTCTCTTTTATTTTTGTTGACCACATTTAATATATTATTTAGATACGGATGGCATAGTAGATCTATGCTCTATATAATTTATGTCTTTGGTTACATAGAAGATGTAAAAAGACTTTCAGAAATATTTAAAACTTTCAACTGTTTCAAATTTCAAAAACGTTTAACATTTAAGTTACAGATAAAAAATTAAAATTAAACATTCACTCGTATCAAAAATTTATCAAGAAGGAATTTTTCAATTTTTCAATTTTCAATTTTTTTTTTAAACACGTGTGTCTGCCATATATCTGTGTGTGTCTGTATACATCTTTCTGGAACACCCCATATGTCGAACAGTGCCCGAATGACTCTGTCGTTAATTAGATATAATCACTAATACCCTCTTTGCATACGTACCTAGATTACATTATTACTATTCTCGTCTAGTAATCTTTGGTAATTCGGGTGTGCATGGAACTATGATTATTATCACTGATTATTTAACCATAATCATCCTCGAAGTTACCCACTAAATTCTACCTGATTAGGCTATCTTCAGAAAAGTCCTCCGACGAGTCATTTCCTTCGTTAAAGTCTATCCGACGACACATTTTTGTCCAAATCTTGAAGAAGGCCAGGCAATTTAATCTTGATCGATATCGCATAAGTAACCAAATTTTCAAGTTTGTTTCCTGCGCGAGATTAAACTATATATCGGCTTCCGTGAAATTTAAGTAATTGTTCTTAAAATTAGCACGGCAAGGATCACATTCTAGAAAGAAAACCAGACTTAGACAATCGCTGCTACGATATGTTAGCAACGTCAGCGTTCATCAGCGAGATTTCTTGCTAAGACCCACGATGGACGCACGTCATCGACTTGTCAAGTTTCTCCTTGGAGTTCGATTCACAAAGATATGCAATAATCCCTCATCCAAGATGGCTGGAGAGACTACTGTAAGCATCCTCTTCTATTTCAAGCCGTCGTCAGTAGAGATCGGAAAAGGAGACCTGAGAGGAAACGCCTGAATGCAGATGATGAAGGGCGTGTAACTCCTCCATCGAGGTCGAGGGCATGCTGTTACTGTCGCCGAGTATGCTGGCTGCCGGTCCGACGGTCGGAGAATTGCCGGTGCTCGAGGATACCGCCGTTCCGGAACAGCCGACGTTGCTACCGGCGTTGCTACCGTCCTGCCGCATCAGATTTCGTCGCCATTTCGCGCGCGCGTTTTGAAACCATACCTGAACAGACGCAAAATCAAGGGACCGCATAATTTCAATTCTTTAACGGATTCTTCAATCATCGATCGATAATTGTAGTAATACTCGTTCCAAGAATTCAAAATAGAAGAAAATAATAATTTAAAGAGATATGCTATAAAAAAATATGGATGTAAATTGAACATTATGTGGTATTATATAATTATATAATTATCACCGTATTGATCTTGATATAATACTTGATATAACATAAGTAAATTTAACGCCATATTTTAGAACGACGAATAATTTAAAAATATTCTTCGTGTTGATGATGATATAAACATCGTGGTGGTGTTAAATCCCCTACATTAATTTATTTATTTATAATTTATTTATTTATATATCACCAACATGGAGTGATATTTAAATATATATAGTGTTAAATCCACACCCATTTTTTAAAGTGTGTTGACGAAAGTGGAGTTGACGTAGGTTAGTTAAGTTTATACTCTTGCGAAAGGAAACTCGTCAATAAAGAAGTAATATCGTCAGTGATAATTGTCTCCTCATAAACACTTCATATACAAACGGAAGAGCTCGTACCTGTAGCACCCTTTTCGACAGGCCAGTCTTCTGCGCGAGTTGCTTTAGGTCCTTGGCGTCCGGATTCTGATTTATCGCGAAGTAATTCTTCATGGTTCGCAATTGGTGATGCTTGAAACTGGTACGCATACGCTTCGTTCGCTGATTCTGGTGCACCGGTCCCGGGGAGCCCACGGATGCGTCGTACGCAGCCAGCGACTCCATCGATGAGGACAGCTCCGTGGGATGCAGCAGTTCTGCAATGGCGACGTCCGCTAGAAAGTTTCTCTTTTCTTTTCCTTTTCAATTTCGCGTCCAACTATCGACGTCACACGGGAGCGACATGCGATAGAGGAGAAAAATGACGCATTGCATTTAAAAAAGATCGTCAAATCGTTTCATTCATGCATATAAAAAATTGCAAGCTCCAAAATAAAAAATTTAAAATTTCTTAAACCCGAAAATATTGAATATATAATTGAAAGAAATCGCGAAATTCTGAAGAATTTTAAAACTTTAGGTTTCTCAAATAAGAAACAATCAATCGTCATGTTGAATTCATTTAAATTTACAAGATATATACTTTTTTCGTCCAAGAATTATACTGTATAAAAATCAAGTCAGCTTCCTAATATTTTGTTTCTATTTCATTCTCCAGTGTTCTTTCAATTCATGAGCCATCTATACTGAACGGTATAACTTCAGAAGGATTTTATCTCCGTGAAGTCGACCTCCTTTCGCGCTACTGTCCCTTCCGATGTCGCGAACGTAACTGTGCTTCCCAAATTATCTCCAAAAAAAGGAGCGAAATCCATGTGTCGTTCGTCTCAATGAGAAAATGAATTCCACCATGGAGCCACATTCGCGAAAACGGTTTTTCTTCCTTTCCTCCCTTCTTCTCACTCTTTCATTCTCGTTCTTTCTCTTCTTCTCGTTAGCAAACCAGCAGATCGTCCGTTGGGAATGGAAGTTCGGAACAATAAACAGTAATAGCGCATACGTGCTTGGGGATTTACTTCTGGGATCCCCCTTCGCCCTTCTCTCGTCCCGCGTAGCCGCTTCGTCGACTGGAACCCGTTCTTCTCCCGATTGAATTCAATGGTTACCCTCGTCGTCTTATTTATTGGATGCGTTCCTTCGTTCTGCCGGCGCGCAATAACTGCAACTGCGCACATAACTGCAGCACGTCTGTCCTCTTTCCGGTGATTCTCTTTCTCCCTTTCTGTACTTCTTTATTTTTGTTCATCATAATTCAGTTAAATTCGTGCGGGGTGGCATGACCGCTAATTGATCAATTAATACGCTTCTTCATTTAAGAAATGCCATAAGAAGTTCCTTTCGCGTTTTTGCGGACAATTATTTTCCTCATAAAATGAGTCTATAAAAAAAAGAGAAGCTCTACTGTATCATCAAAAATTTAAATATACACAGATTTCATTTTGCATTTACAAAAAACGCAATTGAACAAAAAAAAAAAGGAAAGACCAGTTCCGGCGTGATTTTACACGCGAATCGAATCGAAATTAGGACTTTCCCAGCGTGTCTTTCGATTCTGGCGGGATCTTTCTGTGCAGAAAGAGGTACGGCTCCAGGCACCGGCGGACAGTGACAGATAGGTATCGACACTGGGAGATGCATCGATTGGCCGATCTGCCCGGAAAAGAATGCTGCCGTGGCCAATGCGTGGCCACTGCCAGCAGAATGGCCGGCCAGAGCGCTATAATGCCGCCTGCGTAAGTTTCTTGCTGCGCTGCTGGCATCGGAATCCTTCTTTCGTTCTGTCGTCGATTCTCAGTCCTCGGTCTCTCGGCAATTTTGGCCTTCTAACTCGTCCTGACAAATTGTAATCTCATTCTTAAAACCGCCAAATCTATCCTCCCATCCTATTCCCGCCAAACCGCTTGGAAGAGAGAAGCTTCCCAGGGCTTACGTGTGTTCTTCCCTCATAAGAAAGAACAATATATTTTCTAAGACTACTAATAAAAAGTGTGACAAATAAGCCAATATTTTTACTATAAACTATCTTTACATGATAATAATTGCAATATATCGTTTATGTGTCGATGATTTAAAAGTCGAACAGTTACATTAAGAGCTGGTTGTTCGAATAAACTATGTGATAATTTGATTACTGGATAAACAAAATAGTAAAAGAGTAAGAGCATAATAAGAGAGTAAGAGAGTAAAGTGGAAAAGATGGAACAACTTAGCCTTAATGTTATAAAATCAGATTTTATATTCAATATTTAAACTGAGTTGTTTTACCTTTCGGTAAACTTCAGTTCATTGCCTTCTTCTCTTATGTTATTATTCTTTTGTTTATCTAGTAGGTAAATTACTATAGTTTATCTGAAAGATACTGAACCTTAATGTAACTTCATGTCACTTATAAGTCAAATTAAACCTGGTATTATACTCAAACTGTACTTATATACAGCAAAAGTATGTATTTTTTTTCTATAGAAAATTTTGATTTCTTAAATCCTAACACGCAAAGAAAAAGACATAATAATAGCAACAGTAAAAAGATCTGAACTTATATAAGTTTTATATTGATGTACATAGTTGAATAAATCAGTATATAATTATTGTAATTAATCAAATTCAATTATGGACATTTATTCTACGCATGAAACTTGTATTTATACTTTATAGATGCTACTGCTATGTTTCTCTCTGAGTATAAATCGAATCGCTTTGATAACTGAAATTTTTCATTTAGCATAATCTAATACATCAGCTGGTCAGGTATTAGATGTGAGGTATTAGATGTTTCGCAGCTTAGGAATAGTCGGATTTGGAATAGTCGAATTGTCGTCTTCTTGCATTTGTGTTATTACTACAACAGTTCCTCTGCGATTCACCGTCGGTCGCTAGGCGTTTCACCATCGTGCTCCCACCGTCGGCGTGTCCTTTTCGCAAAAACTGTCCCAATTATATATAAAGACAATAAAACACCGCGAGAGGGTTTCTCTCTTCCAGGCCGTCTGTTCCCATCCGTGATCACGCACGCAGGACTTCATGGACGATTTTATGGCTCTTGGTCGTAAATTCCGGTCGGTAGTCCGGGGATAGTGATCCTCGCTCTCGTCGATTATAAAATAACTGGGAATTACGCGCAATCACCAGTTGATCGCCATCTTGGTTTGCGCCTGAATCGAAATGATCGTAAAATCATATCGAAACGCGATACGATATGCGCGCCAAATAATCTGCAAATAATACAAGTCGAGCGAAGAATCACCATGTTTTTAATTTCTGTCGATCAAAGTGCCGCAAATCCGCATTTTGTTAAGGTTGTAATGGCGACAATGCGATAATTAACGTCGCGATTTATATGTCTTATTGTGTCTACACTCAAGGTCTAACCTATCATGATGATATTTGCGGAGCTACACTATAATTCTCGCACGATTTTCATCGCACTTCACTATCATTTGTTATCTATTCGAAGAAATGAAGATTATAACCAAACGAAATGAATGCCTCGAAATCATAATAGGATCTTTGTTATCAAGAATCCGCATTGTGAATCTTTGAGCAATTAGACATCTGCGTAGCGCGCGAAATTTCAAATCAAAGATTATCGCTCGCCAATATCAAATGCTCAAGTTAACGAGCCAAATAATCGCGCGAACGAAATGAAATAACATCTGTGATTCTTGCAGGCTCGAGCAAATGTTTGCACGAAGGAACGCCCCATTATACTCGATCAGTAAATAATGCAACTCCGCCGATTAACTCGTTTGCTGTAGCGTAGAATAAAGAGAAAGCATAAGAAGAGAGAGAGAGAGAGAGAGAGAGAGAGAGAGAGAGAGAGAGAGAGAGAGAGAGAGAGAATAAGAGTCAAATGAAAAAGAAAAGAATGAGAAGGGAGAGTCTGGCATCACAAGTACCAAAAACGAATACCTAACTGAAGAGTCTAGAGGTAACTCTAGGGATGAAAAAGGGCGCGAGGGATAACAAGAAGAAGATCGTTCACGATCGATACAAGATTGCGGAACATACATTGGCTTGACTCACCGAGCGCTCCAGCGGCCAGTCTCATCGTGACGGGAAGCTCGGAGCCGGTGACTTCCGACAGCTTCCGCTTCCGCGGTCGACCTTTCTGCACCGTGCCGGAAGTGATCGGACTTTGCTCGTAGTAAGCCGGAAGCGGCGACACCCCTGGCGAGCCAAGATCTTCGATACTGCCGGCAGCACCCCCGTAATCGCCGGCGCAGCACAGCAACTCGTAGTGTGGTCTTGGGAGCGACGTGCTCGTCAGTCGTCAACCTCTCTGTCAAGTAGTCGATAGACGACCTGACCTCCGCGTTATACGTTCGAGTTCGATGAACGAGTTCGACTCCGTGATACCACGCGAGGGTGGGATTTAACGAGCGGCAGGGATCATCGTTAGTCGAGGAATAAGTCGAGGATTAAATCGCCGAGTTGTTGGATGAATTCGAAGCATCTGGTTTTCCTTACTGCGGTAAAATCTCTTGGTCTTTGGAGTCGCGAGAAATTTTGATAGTTAGAAAATTTTACAGTGTACTTTTCTAAATCTTTTGGAATGAAATTGAACTAATCTTGAAAAAAAGAATGGCAGATTTTCACTCTTTACAGAAGTGAAATTTCACTCTTTTGGAATAAAAATCATTCTAAAGAATGAAGTTTTGTTCCAAAAAAAGAAGATTTTATTTCTTTGAAGTAAATTTTCTAAAGGAATGAAAATCTGTCACTCTTATTTAAGTTTTCATTCTTTTTCTGGACTGACTTAAATTTCACTCCAAAAGATTTAGAAAGTAGACAATTTTAAGGTACATATTTCATTTCGTTTAGAACGTAAACGTTTAGAAATGGAAGAAATCATGGAATCTCTCTCTTAAATCTTGATATTTATAAATTCTCATTCTCACGCGATCTGTCGTCGTGGTCTTCCCGGAACCCGAGACCAAATCCGTCCATTCCAATGACTATCATTAGCACTCAACAACCGTCATTAGCGCGGAAGGATGGTAAAGGGGAGAATGACTCGATGCGACAAAGCGACTTGTGCTCCTGTCAACCTCGTCATCGAACTCGTTGATAACAAGGAGAGACGGCCTTTGAAGGATAGTAATGATCAGACACTCTTGTTTCTCACCTACAATACACTAGTCCGTCCCGCTGGCCGAAATGATCGCCTTTGTTCAGTGGGGTGCCGCACGAGGCGCAAGTGAAACACGCCACATGATACACCAGGTCGCGCGCTCGCATCACCAATTCCGAGGCGGAAATACCAGCGCGACATCGGGAGCATCGAGATACCGCAAATAATCTGCAATCGCAACAATTCAAGAGATTTATTATCTTTCAAGAGGTATATGAATTTTCAAATTCCGCATTCACGAGGAGTCAAACGTCTTTAATATTTCTAGTTATTAGAAGATTATCTTACAAGAAACTGGAACAATATTTAATTCTCCTTGAAAAATTTGTTCACAAAAATCTAAGAGACACGTATATTTTTATATATATTTTTTTTATTTAAAGACTGAAATAGTCAAAACTAATGTTTATATTTCATTCTAAGCAATTATTGTCAAAAGATAATAACAATACAGCTGTAAAAAAATATCTTTTAGACAACTTTTTTAAATGTTTAAAACTTTAATATTTTTTAAAATACTCTTATATTTCCATTATTATTTTTGTGAAATTCTGTTCCTATAAAAATTAAAGTCCAAGAAAAAAAATTTAACCATTAATGATAAAATTAGTTTTCGAATTACATCGTTGAGAAAATCTTAAGTTGCAAAGTATATTAAATAAAAAATTACAAAATTATTTACAACTTTTGACATATCATTTTGATGATAATTGCTTAATATCTAATATAAACATTAGTTTTGAAATTTAATTGTTTCATCCCTTTAAACTTTAAAAATAGGCACATATAAAAGATGTTCCTATATTTATATGTTTCAAAATATATTGTTTAAAATACTCACAAATTGTTTAAAATAAATTAAAACATTTTAATTTAAAAACATCCACAATTTTGCTGAACTTTCAGATTTCAGAATTTTCACTCACACGATTTAAAATTGGTTAAATTATTTATTTCACCCTTTCCGTATTAATTAAATGGCAATTTGACTGAAACGTTACAAAAATTTTGAAGCTTGTTTAACTCGTATTTTTAACGAGTTACATGCATAATTTTATTAATTTTGTCTGAAAGTTACAGAAAATTGAATACGCTTGAGAATCTAACGGTACATTATATGGTTTCCACATGTATGTGTTCGCGAATGTATTGCGAATTCCCGCTTGAGATGAATTTTGCAAGGGATCGAACCAGACCATTCACATTCGCATAGATGGAAACAAAGGGCTCGCATTGTTGCATATTGCATGTAAAAGGACGGTTGTTGAATTCCTCCCCTGCTCGCTCTAACGAACTCGTCTCTCAGCCTTTCATTCCACCCTCGCATTCTAAAATGTCGAACGTCATCGCGTAAACGCGCTATTTCCCGTATAAACAATATTTACTTCTTTGCTTATTATATTATTATACAAGACAAATCGCGTTTCAATCTTTAGTCTCTTTGAGATTTCGACGCTACGAATGTTAAATCTTTTATTATAAATATCAAATCTTAAAGATTTGGGTATACTAAATTTTTTTTAATAATAACTTAATAAGTGATGCTCTCTTTAGCATCTCTTTCATTTTTCGAAATTGGCTTTTTTCTCGTTCTTCTTATGATTCTTTATATTCTTTATTGGCAAGTATATTACCATGCCGAGCACGGAATTCAAAGTCCTATTCCTGAACAGAGATTAGAGCGGTGTATTTGGACACTATTAATGAACATTTTGTATGATCCAAAAAAGAAAATGTTTTGATAAAAGAGAAGAAGGGAAAATAAAGGGTGTTTCTTGTATGTAAATATCGCTATTTAAATAAACGCAGCTATAAGTTTTGGAAATACATAAATTTTTTTAAAAAAGGAATGATAAAATTTTTCAGAAAATATATGAAATAAGAAAGTATAAGCTTTATACTTTAAAAACATTTTGTATTTTTATTAAATCTGGCTCTTGCGAAAATCTTCGTGTTCATTTTTCAATATATTCGAGTGTTAATTTAACATCATGTGATTATATATTGTTTAAATATTTATAAAAATTAATATTTAATATTTCTTAGTGTTAAAATAACGCAATTTATAAATAGTGATCAAATAATGTAAATATAATATTAAAAAATAAATTTTAAGATAAATATAAAAAATAAATGTACATTTTTTAATTCAATATATTATACATCAATTTTATTGAAAAAGTATGTTTTCACTATTTGTTTCCAAATAATGTCAAAGTATTTC